ATCGAAAAGTTCTATATAGGATGAATATCGGAAAAATAAAGACTCTTTGAACCCTTACTAAGCCAAGATTCATGAATATTGGCCCAAGCTATTTTGTACCTAGGGAGCCAACGGCCTTGCTCTCTTTTTTTGGAGATTTCCTTCCTGGATTTAAATTATACTGCAACCTATTATTTCTTTTAAAATTCGCTACCTGAACTAAAAAAAATTAATCGTCTAAGGCCACTGGATTGCAAAATCGCTATCGAGTAATCGAAGAACTTGAATTTTGAAACAGCAATTAATATGATTCATATTCATCAATCACTTCAACAATGAATACTGTTTTTTAAATTTTAAATGTTTTGGATGCAAAAGTTATTAGTTAAAAATTTGAAATGAAAGAATTTGGGGCTATATAATTACAATATTACCACTTTCATAATCCGATGTTTGAGAACGAGTTAAAATTCTAACAAAATCTATCTCTTTATTTTGTAAGTAAGTTGCTAAGAAAATTTAATCCAATTCCTAACTGAAATAACTTTTTTTAAAACAGTCACTCCTCTCCTCCCCGAAAAAAAAAATTGCAAGTTCAATAATTAACCACAGAATCACACAAATTTTCCTCGATCTTAATAAGATGTTAAGTTACATCAAGTTTCATTTCACCTTAAACCTTCGTATCGTATTTTAAAAGCAAAAGGATAAGTTAATATTTCCAACTTGACACTGTACTATGAAATTTTAACTTAGTAAACTGGAACTTTAGCTAGATTGAATGATAACTTAACATTGCATATAAGATATGGTACAACATGGTTCAACGATCACCGTGTTGACATGGGCATGTTTGATGAAGATAAAAACAATAGGCAACTATCTATAGTTCACTAAAAGGTTTCTTCCAACCAAAATCTTAATTTCAGAACTTTTTTCATCGCAAGACTTTTTTCTCAGGGTAATTGAAATCATTCAATTGTTATCCTCGAATTGCAATCCACTAGATACAAGAAGTAATGAAATCTCTAATATCAGAAGCAATTAAATGAAAAGAACTAGTAAATATATGAATAAATAAATGAGAAAACTAAATATATTTAAAAAAAATAATTTACGTCTAAATTAATTTCAATATGAGCATTGCACAGTTTTTTTTTTAAGAAATTACTCTCTGAAATCAATATTTAAGTGTAATTAGTAAACCAATCTTCAGAGCATATTAAAAATTTGCCTAGAATGCAACCAATGATATTCAGCTATTTATTTACGTTCCAATAACAATTAAATTTCATTTCATTAGCAAATTCCAAGTAGGAAGGAAATGGTGTTTATTGTATTTAAAAAAAAAAAGGAATGAGAGGTAAAAAAGAATATTAATCTAGCATCGAAATAAAACATGTGAAAATTAGAATTTAACAGAGCATGTTTTGAGGATCGGTAATTTGATAATAAAATATCAAAACATTCCGTAATAAGACAGCTATTAAAATTGAAGCAAATAATTCCTTTTTTTTTTTTAATTGAAGATATTTTTTTCTTTATATGCTTACGCCTGCTTTACGTTACGGTCACAAATAATGAGAGCTAGATTTTGTTAGATTTTACAAACAACGGAAATTCGCCCGTATTTCGTTACGAACGAATGCCTACGAGTAATATATTAAAGAATAAAACATTCATATAAATTAAAACGCTATTCGAAAAGAACGCAGGCCTCTTTTACAACGTTCCAATCTTCCCCCTTTTAATAAAACTAGCAGACGATTAAAATGAATTTTGCATAGTATGGGGAAACTTAAGAAAGGCAGAAGAATTACGAAACCCCGCGTTTAAAACGAATTACGATATTAATTAATAAAATCTTAAGCGTTATTTACAAGAAGGGAGAAACGGGGTTGGCTATTACGGGGGGTCACGAAGATGGGGGGGAGGAAGAAACAACGAAACGGGCGATGTGTTCCGCTATCATCTTTTCCACAAATCACAAAGGCATAGCTTTGGATGGGACATTTGGATAAAATAGAGTAAGACAGTGCGGGATATGGGGGTACGAGGGGCGCAACAAATGAACCAGAGGACAGAGGGGTACACGCGAGACAAAAGGTGGAGAAGGGAAAAGGGTGAACTGAAGCGCCTCTAAAATTAGATGTTTGGACAGAGTAAAATACCTGCTGCTTCAGCAATGCCTTTCGAATCTGCTTCCAATTCACCCCCGCTTTGGTCGTAATGAAAGAAAGAAGAAGCAGGGGCGGAGAAGGACGGTATTCCCCCCCCCTCAAAACGAACCTCGAGCAACATCCCGCGCGCATCATCTTCGAAAAGCCCCGGGAGCGGACCAAAAGTGCCAGCTTGTGCCCGCTGTGTGTGTGTGTCTAGTATAACTATCTTCTTTTCTGTCTTTCGCCCCCGCCACGCGGCGCTGCCTTTGCTTTTACTTCTCCCCCACACCATCCCACACCCGCCACTCTCGAAGTAATTTGCATTTTCCATTGCTGTTAAGTAATTACGCCCGGGAATAGGCTACATATTTGCCGAGAATTTAATTTTGCCGAGGATATATGGCAGTAAAATTGGTAAAATTAAATTCCGGGCAAATACTTATTACTTTACAGCATTATGTCGCTGGCATTGTTTTCTCTCCCTAGCCGTAGATATATTCCTTATATTCCTTGGAGCGCTCCTCATCTGAAGCGAAGCTGAGAGAAAAGATAGCGAAGAACTTTTGAGGGTGAAGCCAGGGTGGGGACCACCCCACACCTTTATACCCCCAGCTTGAGGAATAAGGAAGTAAGGGGGAAAGGGCAGTTGAGAAAGACAGAAATCAATAATTTCTCCTTCCCCCACCCAAGGGGGATAAAGCGAGGGTGGTGTAAGGGGTAGTGCACTCCGAAACTTTTAATGCTTTTAAATACAACTACAACTTTTCCTTAGACCCCTTCTTCATTTAAGCACATTACATGCACGCTAATTTGCTTCATATATTTCTTGAAACCTTGCTAATCTCATTATCAGATCAGGCACGCTCGAGAGGGAGGCACAAGAAGAAGATGAGGGGGAGAGAAGAAGGAAGGGGGGAGCAAAAGACTTCCATAATTTAATTTAATTTAATTTGATTTAATTTAATTTCGTTTAATTTGATTAAATTATCGGGGCGAGCTTGTTCTTCTCTTGGCCGGGAGAGGGAACAGGCCCCCACACGCGCCCTCAATCTGCAGAAGTTCATTTAAAGGGGTGTGTGGGGTGCAGCAGGAGGCGAAGTGGGGTTTGTAAGAAAGAAAGTCATGGGTGGCGTGGCCAGGCGACGATGCATTTTCCTTAGCGGAAAAGTAATAAAACTCAACCCTTTTCCTGGAGATACTGAACAAGTCCGGTTTTGTTTGTCAAAAAGCGACCAATTAGGGAAAAATTTCCTCTTGCGATGAAATATTTTTTACTTTTCTTCGCTTTTGGGTAGTTCTATTTTACACTTTTACAGAAAGACTTAAATTTGCCAATAAAAGTTATTTATCACTGCTAGGAATAGAGTTTTGTTTGGATATTGTAAACAAAAGCTATCGGTATTAAATATTTATTTAAAATTAAGATACTCAGTAATCAACGTTATAATTGTGGTACTTATGAGATAGAAAAGTCATTAAAATAATATAACAATCTTAATCTTAAACAACAATCCTAAAAAAAAAACTTATTTATAATTAAATCTCTCAATGATCTGAAAACCGACTCTAGCTGGCTGAGAAAGATTTATTAAATCTAGGTTTCTTTCTAGAAAAAAAAAGTTCTTAATCTACAAAACTCATGTCCGGCCAGTCTTGACATACGCTTCTGAGGCTTGGACAATGACAAAACAGGAATAAAAATTGTATCGCAACATTTGAGAGAAAAATTTTGAGGAGTATACTTGGTGGTGTAAATGAAAACAATAACTGGAGAAGGAGATTTAACTTCGAACTGTACAAGATTTTTAAACAGCCTGATATTATTAAATACATAAAAATAAATAGAATGAATTGGATGGCCCACGTGATTCGAATGAGTGATGACAATACAATAAAAACGATACTGCTTTTTAGACCCAATGGAACAAGAAAGCGGGGAAGACCGCGGTTGAGATGGGCTGACTCAGTGGAGTCTGATTTTCTCGCAATTAATGAAAAGAATTGGAGATCAAAGGTGAATCAGAAGTAGTCATGGAGAAATCTTCAGAGGAAGGCATTGGCTCACAGTGCGCTGTCTTGTCAATTATGATGATGAATGATCTGATTTGTTGAATGCTAATGGCGATGTTACTTTAACTAATCTTTAAACGTAAAGAAAAAAAAACTTGTGCAGAATTTAAAATAAAAGTCAATATGCAGAAATTTTATTCACCACATTTACCAAATTTTGTCATATATTGTAAAACTATATTTTGTAGTTAATTTTACCATAGTCGTTATCAAAGTGCTTCGGTAAAAATTTTCGAATTCTTGGTGTTTCAGAATAGATTCAGAATTACGGTAAATTTTATAATATTCTGGTAGCTTTTACTATACTTTTTTTTCTCAGTGTACTTTTGAAATTGATGCTTAAAGTGTAAGATATTTCTCACAATTTTATTTTTTAACTGATAACGGCGAAGGGAAAGGCCTTTCTTCAACAACTGGCAATTTCACAGTGATTTCATTACAAACTGCGGGTACAAAGATCCAATTTGAATCGAATTCTAAATCTTGTCAAATTGACCAATGGTATAGTCTGAATTGCATCTGTTCTTTTTTATATATATATATATTTTTGCAGAATTTCTCAAAACTTAAACATCAATTGGCTGTAGTGATAGTAACAGGGTGAGATTGTGATTTCCGTAGCTATGAAAGCATTAAAATTTGACCCACGTAAATTACACAAAAAACATCCTAAAAGTATAGTTCAAATAATGAATTATTATTAAAAAAACACTTTTAGTAAAACAGTTGGTTATAATTAACAAAACCTTTAAGTCTAAATGTTATGTTTATAAACGTAAAATGCCTTACCACTGTCATTTGAGTTTTCAGAGAGTTTTGTTTGAGTTTCCTGTTCTTTGAATAGTGGAGGGCCTTTCCCTGTGAATGCAATTAAAATTATTATAATCACTAGTTCAAATACCTGGGAGAATTGTTTCAGTTAATAAAACAGTTAATAATGATATCAATACAGAAATAGGATAACGATGGCTAATAGGTGTTATGTCAGCGAATGCTGGCCTTTAAATAAAACAGATGACTAACTAAAAACTACTAATTTTTGAAAGAAAATACTCAGAGTCATCTTCGGAGTTGTTAAAAAAACAATGTTTGGCGGATTCAGCACAAATATGAATTATAGAGAAAATTTAAGCAACCAAACATAATTTCAATTATTAAATTCTATAGAATACGATGACAGGGTCACATTTATAGAGAGGATGATGGTGATCCAGTTAAGAAGCTGACTTTTGGAAAGTTTACAGGCAACCGAAAAAGGTGAAGACCAAACACCAGTTGGATTGATTATGTGGAAAAAGATCTTAAAACCATGGGCATCAATAGATGGAGAAACCTAATGTCTGATCAAGCCAGATGGAAAAGACTAGTTGGGACGACTCTGGTTTGTACTTGGCTGCCATACTGATAGAAGAAGATAATCATTTATCGTATATTGAAATAAATTTTTCACAAAATGAAGTGCAATGTATTGTTTTTAACGAAATAAAGAAAATGAAGTAAAATGAAATCAAATATTCCATTTTAAAAATTTCAAATACCCGGGTAATTCTGTATAGTTGATCAAAGCTATATTTAAAATTTTTGTAGAACCGTTTCACAATATAATGTAATCTATAGTAATGAAACAATTTAAAACTGAAACTTAAACAAAGGCATAGATGTTTAAATTAAATGTTGAAATGTGAATACAGAATAACTATAAGTTCTAGGAAACTACTTTCTGAATAGAACTGGGGAAAACGTAAATAAGTTAAAATTTATGGTTATGAAAACAACGTAGTAGTAGCTTAATCATGTGAAAAAAATTATTCTTCATTACAACATGTTTTAAATAAATTAAAAAAAATGGAATGATTAATAATAGTTAGTTTTAAATTGTTCTAATATGCAACTATACACATATTTCACATGTAATAAAAATAATAAAATTGTAAAAAAGAAAAATTTACTTTTCCATTTTGCACTTATGGTAGCCGACTACTTTTTTTTAAAATATTGATATAAAATTTTAAAAAACTAGTTGATATGTTTTATTATGCGTAAAAACGTTTGAAACTAGCAAAAAATTATGATTCATTTTTTTAAATGGAAATTTTTGGGTTAAAAAAAAAACGAATTTTTTTTGCCTATACGCTAAACACTGTAAAAAAAAATTCTATCACCCAAAACAAAAAAATCGCTCATGGATTTTATTTAGAAGGCTATCAACTATGTTTTGAACGATTACCTTAAAAGCAAGTGCATGTACTATTGATTAAGGGATCAACGCAGTTAAAAAATCACATTTTTAAAAATTTCTGAACGTGTCTTTACGAAAAAACATGCATAAAAAAAGAAATTTTACTTTTTTCTCTTAGTTTGTAGTTCAAAACATGCGTGCTATAAACACAAACACTCATGAAAAATTGTAGACAACTATTTTAAAAACAATATGAGATATCGTGCTTAAGGTGGTGAAATATGTGAAAAAAAAACTTATTTTAAGATAAACGCATTTAAAGACATAAAAAATCACTAGTCTATCCACTTTTATCACCTTGCACAAAAACTGCTATAACTTAGTAAATAATTGTAGTACAAATAAGTATTTTTAGAAAGTATTTTTAGTTAGTGCATAGTTAGTTAGAAAGTATTATAAGTATTTTTAGAAAGCTACGACTACAGGAATTTTAAATTTATAATAAACTCAATTTCATAAATTTTGTTCAAAATCATGCTTTTGCATTATAGTCCTTACCTTTAAATACTATTCCACTGAATTAAGAGTAATGTTGCGGAAGACACACTGTAAATAATTTTGGATTAAATTACGGTAAAACGACGTACTGGCTGATTGCAGTATCCGTAAAATCCATATTACTGGCACATGGGTGCATTATTCATAAAATCCATTTCTACCGTAAAATATTATACAGTAATTTTTACAGTGATATTTATTTTTATTAGAGTGATTTCACTGTGAAAATTACGGTACATCAGATTTTAGTTTCGTAACATGCTCCGGTAAAAATGGGTTTTAAGGTAAAAAGTACTGGCACCCTGAATGGCGGTACTTTCTTACCGTAATTTGATCTGGAATTTTTTACAGTGATTTGATCTGAAATTTTTTACAGTTTAGAAGTTGTAATGGTAACTGAGCAAATTATTAGGTTTAAATTTATCCCAATAATCTGTTACCAAATTTATGTTAATATTATAAAAATTTTAGGAGCTTTTAAATTAAATATTTTTTTAGTTTTGATCTAATTCAGTGGTTCCCAACCTCTTGTGGCTGGCTGACACACATCGCCCCTTTCTCTTTTAGCTCAAAAAATCATTCATTGTTGCTTGTGAGCAACCAAACACTGAAAATATGCTAAGCTATTTGATTTTAATTTAAACTGTAATGCAAATAAGGAGGCACATTTATCCTGTCATTCTTATTAATTAAAAAAATTGTGGATCTTTTTTCTCCTAAAAGAAATGATATTTAAAACGTTATAATCAAAACAAAAGTACATTTATTTAAATTCATATTTTAATGTAATCAAGAAAAAGTTAAAACGTTAACAACTAAAATTTGAGAAAAAAAATGAAGAGTGAGAAAGTACATTTTTACCACTTCAATGACTGCCCTGTGCTTGGGATATTTCAAGTTAAAGCTTGAATGTCAGGTTTTATGCTCGTCAGATTTAAACGCGGGTCCAACCTATCTCTTTGCTTTGTGAGCAGCTGGAAGACAGAACTAAATCCTCTCTCCACTAAATATGTTGACGGGAATGAGATGAGAAGCGGCTCAGTTTGTTTCCACAATTGTGGATAAGTGTCCATAAGCTTTACCCAAGCTAACTCGTAACCGTATTTTTTAAAGACGACTTTAGCCTCACAGTCATACTTCAAATCTAAAAACTCAGTCTACAAAGAGGAGGTGAGCTTATCCACAACTTCAAAAGAGAAAGGATCGAAAATCCAATCCGCAATTTCTAATTTCATCAAATCTTTAAATCTTGATTCCATAACTGATTAAGGTGATCAGTAAAAATTAAGATTTTTTTTCGAGAATCTCGATATCTGCCATTGAACACTTTTTAAGAGTTGGAAATTGCATTAGCTCTTTGCGACTCATGTTTGACTTGTAGATATCAAACTTGGCGATGAATGAAGATATGATTCCCTTAGCCTTGATAATGTTAATTTTGTTTCCTTGAAGTTTTACGTTGATTTCCTTCATTTTTTCAAAACTATCAGTGAGGTACGCAGTTTCCAACTTGCGTTGCTTGTGTACTTCGAATTCTCACTTAAAACAGGATCAGTGGTGTCGAGAAACTCAGTAACCGAATCCAGCAATTCGAAAAAACGGCTCAGTTTAATTTTGAAAGTCATCTCACAGCTGTATGTAGGAGCAGGAATTCGAAATCTTCATCATTTTCATGGCAAAGTTCTCGGAACAAACGGTTATTAGGAGAATTAGCTTTTATTTTATTGATGCCAGAAATAAACAATTTTTTGCAGCCAAAAGTTGACGATGATGAATAATGAATGACGACATAATGAATTGTGAGATAACTTCCGGTATTTCTTTTTTAAGGTGACCCAGACACTCCAGACATAGTTGGAGCACCATCTGTTGCACAAGCCCTTACACTTGTGAGGGGAATTTCTTTTTCCTCAAAATAATCTTTGACCAATTTAAAAATCGACGATCCTTTTGTATCTGTGTTCAAAGTTCTTGTAAACAACATTTCCTAGTTAATATCCTTACTCTCATTTATGAATCTCACGTAAGCTAAAACAGCTTTGTTATCTATCACAGTTGATTCATCAATCTGCAACGCAAATTTACCTTCTTTCAAAAATTTGGATGAGTTTTGATTCAACGTTGACGGCCATCTCATCAATACGCAGGAAACAGTATTATTGCTCAGAGGAACAGAGTGACTTATCAGATTTCCACCTGCGATATCAAAACGTATGACGAAAACGATATTGCACTTGAATTTTTTTTAAATTTTTAACTATCATAATTCTTTGTCTACACCAGAACCATAAGTTTCATATATATTTTCAATTTCAATCTCAAACAGCTTTTGTTATTAATATTATTAGCAATTTTTATCTTTTGAATACTCGTCGCCCCCTAAGGATTATCGCCCCCAGGTTGGGAACCACTGATCTAATTTGTTTATCGCCAAGAAATACGGAATTGCGAAACAATTGTGGAGGTTGGTGAGTTAAACAAGCAGGTAGCAGAGCTCTATAGTTATTCTTATTTATAAAAAAAAACCTGTGGTAAAAAAACCCATATAACCCTGATTGTTTCACACGTGATATAGAATTACACATTATTAATTTCAAACTTCTGTTTTTAATTTAAATAAAACAGTACTTAAATTTTTTGTAAAGAAATAGGTTTTATAACATTTTTGTAAGTTATATCAAACTTACTAATTAGCAACATTCAAATAAAATCTTTTCTAAAAATAAGTAGTTTCATTTTTACCTGAAATTATGTCTAATATTTCCTCCTTAGACATTTTTTCAATTTCCGCTAAGCACAGCTTCTTTAGTTCATCCAAAGGGCGTTTCTAAAATAAAGAAGCTTAAATTAAGAAAAAAAGTTGAATTGCCAATTTAATTTTTGAAAAATAAATACAAAGATAGTGTAAAATTAGCATTATACGTATGTGAACTAAAAGAAAAAACAACAAATGACAAACTATCAAACAATCATTCATGTATAAGCGAAATAAAACAAAGCGTTAATGAAATATGAAATGTAAAATAATAAAAATAAAGTATAAAAAAGAAATGAAGGAATTTGAGTAGCAAAATAAGTATAATATATTTAAAATATTAAAAAAGCATTTACAGTCTAAAATGACAAGTATTTCTTTTTATATTAGTTGTTCGGGAATTTGTTTATTACAATATTTAAAGAAGTGTTTTAAATTAAAAAATAAAAACTAAATTATCTATAATGAGAATTTTATTTAATAACATAAGCATCGTATGCATAGTTAACAAAACAAGAAAGGATTTTTCAAAATAGATTAAAAAATTAGTATTTTGTTAGCACATATTGTTTTCGAGTATAAAATTAATGTAGGGAAGAACTTCATAATTTGCATAAAGTAAAATAATGTATATAAGTTTTTATTTTTGTTTTATTAACAAACTTATATTTGTGAGCACTAATAAATTTTATTTACACACAACAAAGTGAATAAGAAACGTACGCAAATATCATTTACATGACAATACATTCTAAAGAGAAAGCGATTACATACTAATACTAATGCTCGAAAACGTTACCTTAGAAAAAAAAACTGATTAAAACAGTAAATCTTTTATGAACGCATATTATTTTTTTAATTATCGCGGTTTATTTTATTAATTTTATTTCAGTACAAAATTTATGAGAATTACTCTGAAACAATAACTTTTCAATAATCTCTTTTGTTTATTTTCTCACACTTCATCAGGCTTTAAATAATAATATTAATGTACATGCAAAGAAAATTAAAATTGAGAGCCTCCATGAATGCATAGTTTTTAAAAGAATAACTTTAGATTTTAATTTAGGCCTCTACCTCGTAGTTCATTAATTAAATTAAGGAAATAATGAATTTTTTTGTTTTCGCGCGCTTCTCCGCTTGATTACTTTTACGAAGACCATATCTCTGACGTGGAAGATTCTAATCATTATAAATGCAATTATTCACTTGATTATAAAGTCTATAATCACTAAACAATCAGCATTTTGCATCAAACATGCATGGAAAAGGTATATAAAAAAAAAGATCAACCGCAGACCGGTTAAATTATTGAAGTCGTTATTAATTAACCACATCTTCTAAGAACTGTTCTACAATAATTATCTAAAAAAACAATCAAAAGCATAGCGTCAAAGTTAAATATTAAAATCACTGCATGAGGCAAAATTTACCTTCACGAGATTTCAAAAGAAGAAGATAGTTTTAGGGTTAAGAAATATTAACAAAAAAAAAACTGAAAACAACTCACCTATTGTTTGAAATAAAAGAGCAGCAAAACGAAATGAACCGATTTACATACAGACTACTAAGCCTGATTATTTTATTTATTTGTGTTTTTAGTTATTAGCATTTTTAGATTCCTCTGGCACCTACTCTTTTCCTTGGATGGCTGCATTTATTTAGCAGTTTCCCATACTTTTTTTTTATCAGTGTCTTACTAAATTACTAGAAAATCTTAATTAACTTATCATGTTATTAATCAAGTATTTTTGAATTTTTAAGTAAGAAAGGTTTACAACGCCTTTGGGTCATTAACTATTAATTACCGAAACTAAAACAACAACACAAGAATAATTTCAATCTTGCGGCTAAGTTTCTCAAATTCCTAACCTCAAATGCAAATCTTCAATATATATTAATCGGGAGACGCCGAGGGATTTTTTTTTATTTTTATTTAATATATATAGATATTTTTTATTTTCATCTCACATCTAATTCTATTCAAGACTTTCGTAGTTGCAATTAAGTCTGAAATTGAATGAGTATTCTTTCTCCGCCGGACTGTATTTTTACGCATTAGAATTAGCGTAATCAGGGTTGTAATATGAAACGAGCTTTAGGAGTAAAATTGTTGAGATTTAATTAAATCTTGATTCACACCACACGCTTACTTTTGTTGAACAAAATTCGAACTACACCTCATCTAAACTGTTTTATTTTTCGTACTCACAAATTAACACGTATCATTAAAGAAATATTTGTGTAGAACTACCTTTTATAAGATATTATTACAATCGAATATGGTGAAAAAATTGGATAGAGATTGCTTAAAGATTTTGTTGTTTGTGACTTTGCAATTTTATTTGAGATTCGTCAATGTTTAATTAAACGAGTTCAATGGATGCTTCTTACTAAGTCAGAGGTATTTTTAAGACACAAGAAACAAAATATACTTAATTAAAGACTTTTATAACTAAACTCTTTTATAAACAACTTTATATATAAAAAGAAAAGAGTGAATTACTATCTATTATAAGGCAAAACTTTTAAAATAAACGTAATAAATTTTCTAAGATTTAATTAAACTCTAGTGCTAATCGTAAGTGCTCTTGGAAAAATAAGTTTCGTAATTTGTTAATATTAAAGTAATATCTTAAATAGAAGCAAGGATCGCGTTCTTTTTAGCAACAATCGTCAGGCCGTTTCATCGACAATAAATCAGGATTAAAAATGTGTAGGAACCCATGTCCGGAAATGTCGTTAGATGCAGATAGGTGCGCAAAATATCCTTACTGGTAGACGGATCATGGGTGAGAGTTCCCTTGCCGTCAGGCTAACCATGGGAGGTTTTCGTGGTGTGCCACTCCATGTAACGCAAATGCGGGTTAGTTTCATCAAAAATTTCTCCACGAAGGCAAATGTCTCCCGATACTTGATCCAGGAGTTCCCTTGTCTTCTGGATTGGGTTCAAAATTACAAGGCTACGGAACTGAACATTAGTAGTCGTAAACCCAATAAATTGGGTCGGTTTTTCACCGACGGTAATAAAAATAATGCATAAAAAAAATTCCAGCCATGAGCTACAATACAGTTTGAATCCTGATAGTGTGCCCTAAATCCTCTAGAAGTTTTTCGCAAGATTTATGCAATCCCATATAATATGTAATTTTTTAAACTTACACATTTCGACAAAAAATAGACTAAAAATATCATTCGAAAATATCGTAGCTTTTGGAGAGAAAAACCGATTGCAAACTTGAAAGAAATCTTACTTTTTAATTAGAAATAGCTACATACAATTAAATGAGCAGTATCACAATTTTTAACAACATAGAGGTGAATAAAACTAAATATTTCAAAAACCAGAAAAAAAAATTCTTTACATAAAATTATTAATATCACTAAATGCTATCAAATATTTATTTTAAAATTAAAAACTATCCATAAGAGAAAATAATTTCTGATGCAAGTATTTTCTCAACAATATATTTTAAAACAGAAAGACAGTTCGTTTAACATCTAACTGGATCCAAATCTACATCGTATCCACCCGTGTGAATTGCAAGATAGTCCAAATAAGTACGGTGCGATGTCCCTTTTACGACGACGATTAGAAACGGCTACACACAATTAAAAGAATAACGTCAAGAACTCGGTTTTTAACAACATGCAGGTGAATAAAAATAAACATTTTAAAAACCAGGAATTTTTTTTTACATAAAATAATTATAATCACTAAATGTTATCAAATATTTATTTTAAAATTAAAAACTATCCATAAGAGAAAATAATTTCTGATGCAAGTATTTTCTCAACAATATATTTTAAAACAGAAAGACAGTTCGTTTAACATCTAACTGGATCCAAATCTACATCGTATCCACCCGTGTGAATTGCAAGATAGTCCAAATAAGTACGGTGCGATGTCCCTTTTACGACGACGATTAGAAACGGCTACACACAATTAAAAGAATAACGTCAAGAACTCGGTTTTTAACAACATGCAGGTGAATAAAAATAAACATTTTAAAAACCAGGAATTTTTTTTTACATAAAATAATTATAATCACTAAATGTTATCAAATATTTATTTTAAAATTAAAAACTATCCATAAGAGAAAATAATTTCTGATGCAAGTATTTTCTCAACAATATATTTTAAAACAGAAAGACAGTTCGTTTAACATCTAACTGGATCCAAATCTACATCGTATCCACCCGTGTGAATTGCAAGATAGTCCAAATAAGTACGGTGCGATGTCCCTTTTACGACGACGATTAGAAACGGCTACACACAATTAAAAGAATAACGTCAAGAACTCGGTTTTTAACAACATGCAGGTGAATAAAAATAAACATTTTAAAAACCAGGAATTTTTTTTTACATAAAATAATTATAATCACTAAATGTTATCAAATATTTATTTTAAAATTAAAAACTATCCATAAGAGAAAATAATTTCTGATGCAAGTATTTTCTCAACAATATATTTTAAAACAGAAAGACAGTTCGTTTAACATCTAACTGGATCCAAATCTACATCGTATCCACCCGTGTGAATTGCAAGATAGTCCAAATAAGTACGGTGCGATGTCCCTTTTACGACGACGATTAGAAACGGCTACACACAATTAAAAGAATAACGTCAAGAACTCGGTTTTTAACAACATGCAGGTGAATAAAAATAAACATTTTAAAAACCAGGAATTTTTTTTTACATAAAATAATTATAATCACTAAATGTTATCAAATATTTATTTTAAAATTAAAAACTATCCATAAGAGAAAATAATTTCTGATGCAAGTATTTTCTCAACAATATATTTTAAAACAGAAAGACAGTTCGTTTAACATCTAACTGGATCCAAATCTACATCGTATCCACCCGTGTGAATTGCAAGATAGTCCAAATAAGTACGGTGCGATGTCCCTTTTACGACGACGATTAGAAACGGCTACACACAATTAAAAGAATAACGTCAAGAACTCGGTTTTTAACAACATGCAGGTGAATAAAAATAAACATTTTAAAAACCAGGAATTTTTTTTTACATAAAATAATTATAATCACTAAATGTTATCAAATATT